TATTGAATCCAACTAACGAAAAAAGTAAGGGGTCTTATGTTTCGGATTTACAATTGTTTTATTTTGACTCACTTATTTCGATAATTTTTATATTTCAAATATTTTCAGGTATACATTGAAGGATACTTGGTATAAGTTGTAAAGAATATGAAGTTGTTTCTTTATTTTGTGTATGTGTGTATTTTTTGTGTTCCGTCTTTTGTAAAGTTAACTAATTATACATAATTATGATGATTTTGGGTATGGAATGATGGTTGTTTTGGTGGTTTGGGTATGTAGTGATGATTGTAAGTTTTGTAGACAGGTTTATATTTTTTTGTATATCTATTTTTAAAAGAAATTCTGAATAAATTTCTTGAAATTAGTAGGGATCAACTTGATGTTTTGGTGGTTGGATATGTGTTGATGATTGAATATGTATTAATTATTGTGGTGGTATGGTAAATTATGATAACGTTATGGTAAATTAGAGTTTTAATCTAATTTTTCGTTACGCCGTGCCTTCAGGCACGGGCAATTACTAGTTGAGCAATATTTCGCTTCAATGAGGAGTTCTGATTTATGCTACTATGAAGATGTTTTTCCACAGTTCGATGCCTAACACATCTAGTACACAATCCCTATCCTACAAGTGTTCAACCACAAGCTTCCGCTTTATTTTGCCATGTAGTCGTTTAGTCAGTTTCAACGACATTAAACCTAACTACAAATTTCATAATGAGGACATTCTCACTTATTCCATTACTGTTGATAAATACTTGTCTCTTAATTATGACTAACTCAACTTTGGCAACAATTTTCCATCCTAGGACATATACCACCAAATGATTTGCCCTCCTTTTCTGTTAAGCATACTATTCAATTATTAGCACACAAGCTGTGATTATGAAAGTCAAAACAGAATGCCAACTACGCCTTCTGAATTAAATGAAAGGCAAACTTATTAGAAGGTTTCATAAAAAAAAATAATTTCATGAAAAAAAATAAATAACTTTTCCCAGATGTAAATTTGAGATAGAAAGCAGTTAGGAGGCATACTTCCTTTTTGAAGTTGAAAAGTGGGGGCAAAGGCCGACCATTTGGAAGGCGAGCATTGGGCTCCCGAAGCTCATCAAAGAAAGGATGGGCACACGCTTCTAGCTGCAGCAAGAAAGACAGCAATTTGACTAAGAGAGTGGTAGTAGTCCAAAAAGGTTTAAAAAAATATCAATTTGGCAATGACTGTAAAGGAATCCATACTACATTAGCCACTAGAATAAGCTACAGAAGACAATAGTAAGATAAAAGTTTCTGTCCAATCCTTGGTTATGTTGAACTTGCAGAACATGATTTCTTCTCACAATGGCTGGGTTCAGAGATCAACATCATTTTACTCCATGAGGTGAGAGAAGTAATTAAACTCACTGCAGTGCAGCGAAGACTTGGTGAATATTGAAGGAGCCGTGAAGCAAGATCAATTGCTTCAGGAGGCATACGTTTGTGGAAAACCTGAACCAATGAACTTTGTGATCCACTTTGAACTAGAGCCAATTTGGGAGAACAGTAGAAAACTGGAAACCAAACAATAATATAAACTAGCAATAATAACACCCATACCTTATGCCAAGGATGTGCTTTAATCTGAGGAAACCTAAAATCAGTGTAATTCGGATTCATACATCGGATTTCTTCTCGTGTTGGAGTACCAAGAACCTGTAAAATTCCTAAAATTAGTACAATTGAACACTAAATGCTACTGTGTCAAGGTCCCGTACATATAAACAAAGAAATCAAGGAAGCACCTTGATGATCTCTACAAGCTGGTCTACTGCATTTTCTCCAGGAAACAATGGCTATCATAAAGTTGGAAACAATATTAAGTAAAATACATAGAAATGAAGGTAAAATATCACTAGGGACAAAGTAACAGACAGAATCCAGAACAATAAAAATAGCCATAAACCTGTCCCAAAAGAAGCTCAGCAAGGACACAGCCAGCTGACCAAATATCAATAGACGTTGTGTATTCAGTTGCACCAAATATGAGTTCTGGAGCCCGGTAGTAACGAGAACAAATATATGAGATATTTGCTTCGCCTTTGACCTGAATACATCAACATTCTTGGTGAACAAATGAAGATACCACACATGCAAAAATTACTCCTCTAACAATTGGCACACCAAGAAGCAATGCCTCAACAGTCCATATCAAAGGGAAAAAAGCAGATGACATTTCCAAACTCAGAATTCCTATTAAAAAAGGTATTTCCATTGAACAATGAGCTGGTAATATGATATCACGTGGACCTATTGAATAAATATATATCAGCATGGATCATGAATCAAAGAGGTAAATGAATATGGAGCACAAATTATGAAATGTATCATGTGAAACTCATGCATGTATGGCTAAAATGACCATTGTATAAGTGAAAATAAAAATTATCTCTTCTCTGCACAACAAACCAAACCAAACCAAACCAAACCAAACCTTATCTCCCAATCATTTGGGGTTAGGTATATGAGTCAGTCTTCGCCATTCATTTCGATCATACGTTATACGCTCATTTAAGTTAAATATTTTCATATATTTTCTTATTATTTCCTTTAATGTTAATTTAGGTTTACCCATACTTCTAGTATCATTAAGAGAAATTCTATCACTTTTTCAAACTAGTGCTTCTATCGGCCTCCATTGAACATTATCAAACTATCTAAATCTATTCTCTTTTAACTTATTCTCAATTGGAGCTACTCCTACCATTTCTCTAATACGGCCATTTCGTATTTTATCATTTCTAATTTTTCCACACATCCACTTTAACATTCTCATTTTCGCTAGACTCATTTGGTCACTATGTTATTTTCTAATTGCCCAACATTCCGTCTCATACAACATTGTTGTACTTAAAGCTGTTCGATAAAATTTACCTTTCAGTTTTATTGATGTTTTTCTATCACATAATATGCCAAAGATTTTCCTACACTTAAGCCAAACAGCGTTGATTCTGTGAGTTTATCAATGCTAGATATCTAAATCGTTTACTCGTTAGTACTTTTTGATTTTCAATCTTAATTTTTTTACTATGTCTACTTTTTTTATTACTAAAATTGTATTGCATATATATTCAGTTTTACTCTTACTTATTTTAAACCCTTTCAACTCAAGTTTCTCTCTCCAAATTTTTAGCTCATTGTTAATCCCCCTTCGAGTTTCATCTGCTAATACAATATCATCTACAAATAGCATACACCATGGGACATCATCTTCAATGTTCCTAGTGAGTTCATCCATAATTAGGGAAAATAGGTATAGACTTAGGGCCGATCCTTAGTGTAATCCCACCGTGATTATAAATTCTTTACTTTAGAATATTGAAGACTTAATTGTAGTTATAACCCCGTCATACATGTCTTTTATCACCTCAATATACTTATTCGTCACTCATTTTCTCTCAAGTACCCTTCATATTATATTTGTAGGCACTTTATCATACGCCTTTTTTAAAACTATAAATACCATATGGAGATTTTTCTTCTTTTCTCTATACTTTTCTATAAGTGTCCTCAATAAATATATAGCATCTATAGTTGATCTACTCAACACAAACCCAAACCGACTTTTTGACACTGTATTCTCAATTCTTAGGCGGCGTTCAATGACCTTTTCTCATAGTTTCATTGTATGACTCATCAATTTTATCTCTCAATTATTATTCAAATTTCGAATATCTCTTTTATTTTTATAGATAGGTACTAAAATACTCTTTCATAATTTTATTAAATAATTTGTTAGCTATGACACCTCCTCTTTCCCTAAGCACTTTCAAATCTCAATTGGAATTTCATTCGCTCCTAAAGCCTTACCCAATTTTATTTTCTTCAATGCAAACTCTACCTTCGAATCTTTATTCTACGAAAGAATGTTTCATAAATCCTACCATTTTCTATCTATTCTAAGTTTTCTAAATGATTTTCATTTAATAGTTTTTCAAAATAGTCTTTTCATCGATCATTTATTTCTTCATCTTTAACTAAAATCTTTGAGTTCTCGTCGTTGATGCACTTAACTTGGTTAAAGTCTATACTTTTTTTTTCTAATTTTAGCTAGTTTGTAAATGTATTTTTCTCCCTCTTAACTCGTCGTAGGCTTTTAAGTTAGCGGGTCTAACTATCCTTTTAACCTCCTTGTTAACTTATTTATATCTTTAAAAATTTTCGTTATTTCTATTATTTTGTCATCTTTGCGTTAACCGCACCTTGTACGTCATCATTCGACTACTAAGTTTCTTTTCCCAGAAGCCCTCTACCCTTTGACTTCGCAAGAACCTCTTTCAAAATTTTCCTAATGTTTTCGGTTATCCTACTCCACATAACGTTAGTCTTATCCTCTAGGTTCCATAAATCCTCATTTAGCATTCTACTCCTAAATAATACTAAATAATACTAGTTTCTCATTTTTTAGATTCCAACATTTCGTTCTTATTTTTTTAATACTTCTCCTTACTTTATGTTTCCCTTTAATATATAAATTACGATTGTTAGCCTATGTTGAAATGTTAAGCTCTCCCCCGGGACAACCTTACAATCTTTATATACTAATCGGTCCATCCTTCTACTTAAGAAATAGTCTACTTGACTTTTGTTTGATCCACTCTTAAAGGTTATTAGATGTTCTTCTCGTTTTCTAAACTAGGTGTTTGCCACCACAATGTCATATGTCATTGCAAACTCTAAAATACTCTCTCCAACTTCAGTTCGATCACCATATCCATAACCACAATGCACCCTCTCATATTGTGTCCTATCTTTTGCTACACGTTCATTAAAATCTCCACCTATGATTATCTTCTCTCCTATAGGTATATGCTGAACTAATTCAACCATTTGGTCCCCAAATTGATTTTTAATATGTTCCTTTAACCCTACTTGGGGTGCATAAGTATTAATCACATTAATTAAATTCTCTCCGACTATAAGTTTGATAGATATAATTCCATCTCTTTTCCTTCTAACTGCTACTACACTATCTTTTAGGTCTTTATCTACAATTATTCCTACTTCATTTCTTCGTCTATCCTTTCTTATATAATAAATTTTAAATCTTGTATTTTCTATCTCTTTTTCATTCTCACCTACCCACTTAATTTCTTGTAAGCATGCTATACTAATTTTTCTTCTGCTCAAAGTGTCTATTAATTCCATTGTTTTGCCGTGAGTGTATTTATGTTCTATGTTGCTAATCTAAATCTATCATCGTGGACTAACTTCCTTACCCCCCACTTCCGTCTATGGCACAAAGACCCTTGTCCATTTATCACCGCACTCGGCACCCATGCAACGCCCCTAACTTATTTGTCGAAACGCCTCGTGGCAAGCGCAACACCCCTAATTGATTTTTTGAAACACCCCAAGGCAGGCGCAACGCGTTGCTTACGGGGAACAACTTACCAATAGCGCATATATCATTGTTTGGACTATTTTTCTTCTCTGCTCATCAGTAAAAGCCAAATAAATCAACCTAAAAACAGATTGAGCAACATGCAAAGAAGATCAGCAAGTAGAAAGGGAGTATATGCATATGAATGAATTTGAGCCTTCACTTTGTTGTTATGAAATGTAGTATTTCTGATGACTAATATTCAGTTATACTCTTTCTACATTGGCATCTTTCTAGTGTTTTTGGAATGGCTGATTTTCTGTGTTTTGGCCTTTGATCTGAGTTTCATTTGGTCCATTATCCATTTGTGGCATCCGGCGACAACAGAGTGGCATCGTTTGACAATCCAAATATCTCACTGTTTGAGTAGCCACCATGATTGAAAAGTACAAATGCAAACCTAGCACAACTCATGGAATGATTCAAAATTAAGCCCATTCTCAGAGTCTGTAGAAGACTATTCGGTTTTCAGTTGTATGCACAACTAATAAACACTGCAGGGTTCAAAAGGACACAATGATAAAAACACTTCAGGGGAACATATACAATTGGTCCATAAACTTTTCAATCACAAAAAAGGATAACATAAAGGCTAAAGCAAACTTGATAAGGCTACATACCAGAACTTTTGCGCTTCCGAAGTCACAAAGTTTAACCTGGTGGGTAAGAGGATCAACCTGAACACAAAACAAAATGTAGGTTTAGATGAACATTCCAACACAATTAAGAAAAAAAAAAAAAAAAGACCAAAAATATAGCATACCAGAAGATTTTGAGGCTTCATATCCCTATGGCAAACCCCAGGAACAGTATGGATGTAAGCCAGCCCCCTAAATATCTGACCATTTTTTTTTTAAACAATATAACTAGGTTTAGAGAATGTATATGTGTTTACAAAGTTAACTGAAAAGAAACAGAAGATTTAAACCTGATATGTATAAAGTTTGACATATATGAGTGGCATCCTCTGATTTGCATTGCTGTAATGCTTAAGAACCCGGTACATAGTCTCAGGGACATATTCCATTACCAAATTTAGGAAAAGCTCATCTTTACTTGTTGTAGAAAAGAAACAGTGCTTAAGAGAAATCACATTCGGGTGATCCATCAAGCGCATCAATTGAAGCTCACGGTTTTTATACCGCCTGTCCTGCAAAACCTTTTTTATAGCCACTGTCTCTCCCGTTTCCAAGCATTTAGCCTAAATGAAAGTGACATCAGAACATGGACTAACAAAATCAATGGTAACCTATGAAGCACGGATACAGATACGGGATATAGATATGATACGATACGGATACAGCGATACGACAAAGTCTAAAAAAGTAGGATATGGGTACGGCCAAGATACGTCTATAATAAAATATATTTAATAACCAGCTTAATATTTATATATTTTAGTAGTTATTTAATATACAATAAGAAAAATTAGTAATTTTTTTTAATTTCAAAAACATATATATATTGTATCGATGTAGTATATTCACAAAGTGAAGTGACAAATTAAAGGAATCAAAACTAATATTTACCTAGTATTTAGAAGTAATTTTTGCTAAGATAATAAAGTAATAACTTTATTTTATGCTCCTTTGACATGTAATTATAGATAATACTTAAAAAAAATTCATTTGCCTTTGAAGTAATATGATTTTTTTGTTAATGTATTGCATGGTATGCAAATTTGAAAAGAGATATTAAAAGTTCAACTTAAAAATTATATATGTTGTGCGACCACAAAAGCATCCATGAAATATCTTAATATTTAATTATTATCGGATTCATAGAAGGTGTATCTGATACGTATCCTCGAGTATCCAATGAGTATCGTATCCGATACGGTATCGGATACGGGTACGTCAACCTAAACGAAATATCCGTGATTCATAGATGGTAGCATTACAAGAATCTATTCTAAAAACATTATTATAGCACCTGAAAAACAATTCCAAACGATCCAGTGCCAACAACACGCTCTGCCATGTAACTAATTGTCTGTAAAAGCATCATACAAAAACATTTTAGCCTCCAAATAGGAATAATTACAAAAGAAAATATTTACTCATATATCTTCTCAACAATTTACCGTCTTAAATTCTACATTAAGTTACATTCTAAACTTTCGATGGTATCAAATCCAAAAGACTACAAAGGGAACTATTTTAGCACAACAACAATTTCTTAATGACTACATCATTTTCCCACCCCATTAAATCGTTGTCCAGGATCGCGCCATTAAACCGTTGTCCAGGATTATAAGAGCATAATATCTAAAAAAACTGCATAGCAAACAAATAAAGCCATCAAAAGTAGAAAGTTAAAGATTACTAACCCGCTTGGGTTCGCCATTTTTGCCCCCAATTGTGGTGGAAATGATGTGACCTGTGACTTGATCATTCCCCTCAATAACAGCAGCAGACATTTCCTACAATGCAAATCAAATCAGAATATTAATGCGACAATAAATATCATCATTACCCAAGTTGCATTGTTTACAAGAACACCGATCCCAAGAATAACATCAGTACTAGTTAGCTCACAGAAACGTAAGTAAAACAACTTACGAGATTACACAAAGATTTTTTTAATAACTTTGTTGTTGAGTTCACAAAAGCCCAAGCACAGATATCTATCGAGACATATGCATAGATTTAGCTATGCATGACATAACCATAGCTATCAAGAAAGCATCACGAGCCATAAAAAGCTTGCATTTAGAACCACAGACAATCATTATAAAAGAATCAGCCATCGGCAACTACTGGAAGCAAACTACAGTAGATTGAAGTTCAATCATTCTAAAGGAAAAAGAAAAGCAGATAAAAAAAATCTTACTCAAAATTTAACATACTTGAGCTTGAATAGCCCCAGTTTTAAGTTTGCCAAATAGTTACTGCCCCAAAAAAGTGGAGAAAGTTAAATATGTGAAAAATACAACAAAATGCACTATGGAGGGAAGAGAAATTAGGGGGAAAAAAAAAAAAAGAGATGAGTAATTTTGAAAACTTCGTAATGTAAAAAAAGCAAATAAAAACTGGTCACAATTAACAATTCGACAGAGTAAAATTTCCAAAAAAAAAACTAGAAAATCACAAATACAACCAAAGACATAATGTTCTTTCTCCACCTAAAACTCTCACTCTAAATCTTTCTGAAAACACTAAATCCAAGTTTTGAACACCTAAAGGCCAAACAAACGTAAAGCTCTCTCAGATCGACAGAAAATTTCACGGCACAACTTCCGGCGACCTCAGTCTGGCCTTCATCAAATAAACAGCACGGAAACAGCAAGATCGGGCTCAATTTAAAGCTTTGGAGCTAAATCGAAGTACACTCACAGAGAACTGAGCCCAAATGTGGTCCAAAAGCATATAATGGTGAGAAAAACACGGAGCTGTGATGCACCTCCGGAATACTCCGAGAGAGTATTGGCGAAAGTGAAAGTACCTTGTCGGAGTCCATCTCCGTGCGACGAGGTTGGGTGGTGGCGGTGGCAGTGGCAGTGGCAGTGGCGAGCATTAAGGCAGAGTCGAGATGGTGGTGATCTGGAGGATTATGGTGGTGAGGTCCCAGTGGCAGCGAGGCCATGTGGAACACTATACAGCTGCCTTCTCTCTCTCTCTCTCTCTCTCTCTCTCCTCCCTCTATATTTTACTCGCTTCAGTCCCTTTGCATTTATTATTTTCAGTCCAACTAAAAAATAAAAAAATCTCAGGTTGCTCAAATAGTTTCTGAATTATGAAGCAAGCAGTAATACACCGTGACCGAAGAGACTTTATAATTTTTAAAAAATCTTATAATTTAAAATAATTTTTTTTTCATTTGTTTCATTAAAAAAAAATTGAAATCAATCTAGTTTTTGCTATTTTTTCAAAAAATTTTGACAAAATTTTTTTTAAAAATAGGAACTCAGGGAAATATAAATCTGTATAAAGCGACATCAATTGCATCATTACCCAATACAAACCATTGCATAACCAATCTGAAAAATAAATTACTCGACTCAAAGTCAATATCATATCTTAGTCGCTATGCAAATCTAAACTAAAATAATATTTTATCATAATAACAAAAGTTACGGTGACGGTAACAATCATATGTTATACACATAAGTCTAACTGAACAAAAATTCATAGTTTACAATCATATATAACAATTATTATAGTTCACAATCACAATTGACTTCTATTGCCACCAAAATCACAATTCCAAACCCAATCGCCAAAACAATCATCAATTTCCATGAAATCAAAACATAACACCTGTGATTTGTTCACACTAAACATGGAACAAACATAACACAAGCAAATTGGACACACAAAACGCGTGTACAAAGAGAAACAACTCTCTTCAGCTTCATATTCTTTAGATCTAAGAGAGACCACCAAAAATTGCTAATAACAACCACCACACAATTGTACGATTGGGATCAAAGACTTTAATGTCTTCTAGATGTGAAGTCATCGGAAAATAAGAAAACCATGTATTTAAAGAAAACATGCCCCAAAACCATGTATTTAAAGAAAATATACCCCAAATCAATTATCAATCTTACTATCACACCACAGTTTGCATAACCATTTCCCAATTATTGACCCATCATAATAATACAAACAATACACTCAAATTTAACTTTATCCATCTAGCACTTCATAGTCAAACTTAACACCCGCACCAGCCACACACATCCATATGTTTATGTATTTAGCAAATTCAACATAACAAATTAATTACCATTTATTTACACTCTATATAAGAATTGCTATAACAAAATTCAAAACTCATCAAACCTAAACAATTGGCCAAAACTAAAGAGAAAAATTGCATGGCAAAAGCTAAAGAGCTTTAATAAACATAAAGAGAAATAGAGATAACAAATTCAAAGTAATTGAAAGTCACCAAATCCATACAAAAAAGTTAAAATTAAACAAAAAAAATATATCTAGAAACTCCAAATATTACTTATTAGTGAGTGGGAATCCGAGAGCACCTTCAAACTCATGTGAAAATTGCATGCATTACACAAAGTATTTTTGGTAGATTTAATTCGTGCAATGTTACATGCACAGGTATAGACTCACAAATGCTGACATAACAATAGCACCACACTCTATAGAGATGCAAAAATGATGACACAGTGACAATGCCACACCCATAGAAATGTCGAAATGGCAACAACACCATTGAGGCGATTCGCTACCGTGGTGACCAAGAGGAGAAGGAGGAATAATTAATCCATGGACTCTCATGGACCGAATTACTCAAATATTTGAACAAAGTATCGAACACAGTAGACCAATCACAAATCAAAAAAAAAAAATTCAAAACCCAAATGAAATAAATTCGTGCCAAATACTATTGGGCAGAAAGGATGGGAAGAAGTGGCCTAAGTCGATAGGGGTTTGGATGTGGCACGAAAACTTATTTGACAGGGGTTTTTTTAAGGCAAATTACGTGTTTCATGTTTTTCAAATGACCTTCATGAACTTATACATATTTAATTATTATTAAGAGGTTGGTAATGTTTTTGATGTTATGCATGAATAATAAAATTTGGTCTCAATAGGTCTATTGCAAGCAGATGGATCTCACTATAAAAGGGTAATAGGATCATCAACATTAAAATACTCAAATAATCAAGTCATCCACACACTCATAAATAAATCAAATACAAATTAAGGACTCAAAATATGTATCCAGATCATATATTGAAAAAAAACACATGATCTTAACTGCTCATGTTCCAATGACACTCTTAGAGTACTCTCTTTTACATCAACATTTTTAGTTGTTGTATTGTAGGAGATTTTCATTTCCTAGAAGAGAGAAAAGCGTTGTGGTTAAATTATACAACTATATCATGAGCAAATTGAAGCAACACATAGCCGTCGTTTAATAACTTAAACAATCTGGATTATCACAATAAATCAAACCCATCACATAAAACTAAAATCAAATAACACATAACATTTCAAAATATAGTTGGACAGAGGAATAGGTTTTTTTTTTTTTTTTGGGGGGGGGGGGGTTTAGAGCTTGAGGCAAGAGTGTTTATTGATCTGAAGCAAAAAAATAGCAATATTTTTGTGATCTGTGCTAGAAACCATATGTTATGTGTACTGTGCGTGCAGGATCTTGCACAATATAAACACAAAAACAGATCTCTCCCGCTGTGAACTCGAGTTAATCAATCGAATGGTCATCCCCGCTGCTTTGGAACGGACTGTGAGGTCCGACGGTGGCCTGGAACGGTAAGGGGTGACTCTCGTGGATCAACGGAGCGGTCCAGTAAGGCTGAGGGAGGTTCCTGGAACAGAAAAAAAATGAGTTAGGAGGGCGTCAGAGTGTTTTTCGGTGTATCCCCTCCGACGATCAAGTTAGTTCTTTGAGAGAAGGGAAAGAGAAAACACTGTTTATTTGAGAAAAAAGTTCTTTGTTGCATACCGTCTTACCTTTTGTGAGAAGTATTTATACCTTAAAAACTCATGGTTGATGTCAGTGTGGTCAGTAGGTGATCATTAGATACGGACAACATGCGCACTAATTCCTATGAGGAATGTCTTCTCTCTTAACTGCTCGGGACCCCGAGCAACCAACACTGCGTCATCGGCCTACCGAATGTTTAATGAGCTTATCTCGGTAAGGATGTAATAAATGCCCAGTCATAGGGACATTTATTACCTTTCACTTTCGAGCCTTACTACATTAAATGATGTCTCCTCAAGGGAATGATGCACTAAATACTTGCTTTCCCAAGGCGTGCGACAGCAAGGGCATCTCGATCTTTTTGTCTCTGATCTGACACAATATGTCACGCGCCCATTCCCCATTGGTTGTGTCTTCTGCCTTCTTGTGTCTTCTGACACCAATTGTGTAAGACGAGGTCATTATGGCTAACCTAGCCTAGCCTAGGCTAGCGACTTGTACATCAATAGCCTCTACAGGAGCAGAGAACGCCATCTTGGACGGGTACATTTCGGTACCGAGGGACTGGTACATGTAAGGACCGATGTACCTCATATCCGACCGAGGGATACGTGTCAGTACGTAACGTACTGGGTGTCATTGATCCCTATGAACAGTAGCTCGAGGGAAGAGGGACTTGTAAATCGACAGGTACGTGTCGTGATCACAATAACAAGAATTTATCGATGCCGAGGACACGTGTCTTCATCTTGGAGTATTCGGAAATGTCCCATCAACTGCCCCCCAGCCTTCGATCTCCTGACACCGAGGACACACGTCATAAGGAGACGAAGGGTTCTACAACTACCCTAACTACTTCATCATTGCCTCTAGCCGTTTTCCCTTGCTTAGGAAGTCGTGCACATTAAATGTGCCTCTTCGTGCTTCGTGCCCAAATGATGGGGATGGGTACTATATAAACGGGCTTTCTCTCTCCCTTTCTCATTTTTCCATTTCGAACTTCTTCAGAAAGCCCTTGCCTGAAACCTCGTCGGAGATCTCTTTCCTTTCGTTGTCTACTGCCCAATCTTTCACTGGAGTCTCAAGGCCAACAGACCCATCCTTGGTTCTGAACATCCTAGGGAAGGAATCACTTCAAGTTTTCAAGAAAAACTTCCGTTTACGTTCTGGTGAGTCCTTGTATCTTCCCTCTCTTCACCCTTCTGTCTCTTCTTTTCTTCTTCTCGCTGTTTTTAGTTTCTTTTGATTTTTTGATAATCGGAGGTGTTTCTGGTTATCATTCTGTGACCAACCCTCGGGAAGCCTCCTCGGGGATCATCGTGGGAAAACCCCTCTCTTCTTCCTCAATTTTTATCATTTTTGGAGATGCCCCGACGTCGCCCTGCCCCTGAGAATCCTCAGGCTAGTTCCTCGAGGGCAGGGGAAGTACAAAGTGAAGGGGGACGAGTAGATTAATAGGTTTAGGGTTCAGTATCGCATCCCTCCATATGTAGACATAGAGGATTATAACTCGGCTGTGTATTCCCGTACCCTCGGGGCCAAGGATGAGATGCCCTTTTATACTAAGGCCATCACAGAGGACGAAATTAGGTTCCCTCTGCCCTCTCTACTCCTCCAGTTCCTCTCCCATTTTCACCTTTTCCCCGGGCAGTGTTGCCTTAATGTCTTCAGGATAATTATGGGAGTCTTAGAGCTCAACAAGCATCTCGGGATAAATGTTGGGCTGAACGATATCCTCTTTTGCTATTCCCTCTTGAGGGTCATGCCTCAACAAAACTTCTACCTCAAAGCTAGGGATCCATCCATGTACTCGTAACTCACCTTCCCGACTCAGACAATGGGTACAAGGATGACCTACTCATCTTCAAGGGGTCTTGGCAGAGGGGTGCCGGTCCCGAGTACAACGCCTTGTTATGCCCTTTGGAATGGAGAACAACAAGTACGTCGGCTTCTTTGGGTTTATTATTATGTTCTTGAGATTTTTAGAAATGTTCATAACTCCTTCCCCTCTCTTTTTGTTTATGTGCAGACGTCTCCGCTCGGGAAACAGCTCATCCACTTCGGTCCTTGGTAAACTTTACTGACCTCGTCACTGTTTGGAGATTTGTTGGCGACGACGGGTTCGGCCGGGCTGCTCACATTCTTCTGAACTACACTCCCGG